TCTGTCTGTCTGTCTCTCTGTCTGTCTGTCTGTCTGTCTCTTATACCTTGATAATCCACATGTACATGTAAACCACTTCATGCTTATTTTGATCATTTGTAGATATTGGATAAGTTCAGCTGGATTGAATGTTCATTTATTTGTATTTATTTTTCTCTCTCAGCTTCAGCTCCTATTGTTTTCTGTCAGATGGAGGATGCCACTGACCAGATTATTATTTGCCCTGCTTCTCCTTTTGATTTATCTGCTACGAAGCCTTCGAAACATCTGGCAAATTCTCTTCCACCTGGCAGTTGCTGCCTTTGTATTATATCAAACTACTAAGCGACAGCTACAGGCAAAGCCCCCTGATTACAATGTTTAGGATCAAGAATTCAGCATGTAGATAACACAGGTTTTAATGGAGAATTATATAATATATAAATCTGAAAATGAAAGAAATTTGACATTACAAGCCTAGTGTAAGTAGTCAAATATTATAATTTGAATATATCAACAAAGTTGAAATGGTAAATTGGCCACCGTTACGATTATAAAAGCTGACGTTTCGAACGTTAGCCCTTTGTCGGAGCGAATGATGAAGGGCTAACGCTCGAAATGTCAGCTTTTATAATCGTAACGGTGGCCAATTTACCATTTCAACTTTGTTGATATAATTATTCAAATTATTTTGTTACCCCCCACCGACGCAGCCCCAAACAGTTTCTTTAGAAACTATCAGCCTTTATTCATTTGTAGTCAAGTATTACTAGGATGTACAGTGTCTGTGTCGCACTTGCAAAGCGCATATTAAGTTTTCAGTGGATATTATATGAATTTACAGAGATACTACAATCATGGGTTGATAGGTGTGTTTGAGATGAGTACTTAACTATGTAAAAAGATGGTGACATCTTACAATGGGGATTTGTGTGCATTTTATGTAGACACTTTGGAAAATTCTGCTATGTTACACAACCCGAAGAGAAGGCTGAGGTTTGCGCAACTGTGTCAAATTCTCTCAATGAGAGGTGTCCTCCCATTGAAGTGGAGTTATGTTTGTGCACATTTTATGTAGACACTTTGAAAATTCTTCTATGTTATACAACCTGAAAAGAAGTCTGAGGTTTGTGCAACTGTGTCAAATTCTCTCAATTCTCCTCTCATTCAAGTGGAGTTCTGTAAACTTAAACACTCTTCTATTACATCAATAAAGGGGCTGTTTTACACGTACCTTTGTGGCTGGGTGTTTTGTACTTTTTTTTTTTTTTTTTTTTTTTGCTCATTTGCTGTTTTTTTTTTTTTTCATTTGCACCTGCAGATCAATCCAACTGAGAGGAATTTATGCCATCCCCTCAGAAAATAAGTCCTGGACAAAATCACATTCCCCCTCATAGCGTTTTTTCTTTTCCAGGAACCATTAGAGGAATGCTCCTGTTTTAGTGACACCTTAATAATGATTCCAAAGAGTGATCAAAACCTTTCAAAACTTTTCATTCACCCCTAAACTCCCACGAGAAAGCAGCATCTAAGGTCTCAAGAATAAAGGAAACAATCACCAACTAAAGAAGCTCTTGATTTTAAAACAAATTCTCCTTGTCAGCACCTTAGGAAATTTTTAAAAAGCAGTATGGAGAATTACCTTACCATGCCACAAAATACTTTATGAGAAGGAACACCAACCTCACAAAGCTCACTGTGTATCTCAACGATTCCCTTTTCCATTGCTACAGGCTGCGTGGCTGACACTGGGAAAATGGAGAATGATGGTATTACTGGAACTGACCAAGCAAAGGGGTTGAAATGTGTGTGGGTGTTCTCATTGGGCTTGGAATGCCACATTCTTGATGCTGTGGTAGCTGGTGAAGTTTTAGGGAGTGCATTTAAGTGGGGCATTGAAGATATAACTTTGAAAGTATAGAATAAAGAACAAAAGGCACTGCCTCTATAAAAATAATTTTTAGGATTTATTAATGACAGTTTAGCATAATAATTATTAGGTGTAGAGTATGGAAAGGTCAAGTGATTTATCTCAGGCCTCTTAGTCAACTGTACTTCCATTCAATAACCAAGAATATATAAAATTATTTTACCATACGATACTCATAATCAGTTATTTTACGTTTACTTCGTATGGTAGATTTACGGCATGATTGGGAGTTACTTGCAGTGGTAACGCTATGTGGCCTTATGTAACTCAATACACCACACTAGGCAAAGGGATCCAGACATTCCGAAATAATGCAAACGACAAACAAATTGAACTACATGTATAAGCACAAAGTATGTGTGGGGTTTGGCAGTTCGTCTGAATTGGACTGGTTCATCAGGCTTTTGTTTACATTAAAGAGAGGAGTGTGCCTTCTCGTAATGGAAGCTTGTAACACTTGTGGCTGAATTTGGGAGGGCACTTAGCTTGTCAAAGTCATCTTCACGAAATTCGGCTTCAAACGCTGAGAAAAATATCTCCATCCTTGCAGCGCAAAGAAATCTGTTCTCAAGCTTCAAACCTTTTGCCCTCTTCGCTCGCTGTCCATAAATTCGGAAAACCTTTTCCAGTATTTGTTTATGTTCGGAGAGACCAAATGTACTGATAGAATCGAAGCCTTAAACAACTTCGATGTAAGCAACATAGTACTTAAAATTTCCGCAAAATTGACCAATTTCTTTTCCAATGCTTCAGAAGGGTAATTCACTCGCGCAGATCAAGGCTTATTTTGCATTGAAGCAAGATCGAAACTAAAGGGGAACCCAGAGTCCTTTGGCTCCTTGTCACCGGGATGACCCTGGGCTCTAGAATGGTATGGAGATGACTCCAGCCTGCTGGTCAAACGATTCGAAGTCTCACAACACTTCCCAGAAGTCAAATCGCGTAGGAAGCGCTGGAAACCAAAACAAATTTGAAAATGGCGTTAGGACGAGCTGTGATCTTTTTCATTTTATACATATCCTTCTCGCATTGTTCTGAAAATATGCCAGTAATGACTGGTGGAATATCGAGAATTGACCCTGAGGATTCTGCTGAGTATCCCGATTTGCAGAAAGGAGTGGAAATATTCATGGATAAGCTAAATGCAAAGGCAAATGCTGGCACTGTCTACAAGCTGGTATGTGAAAGAATCCAAGCTTCAAAACAAGTTGTTCAGGGGGTTCTGTACCGTGTTGCGTTCAGTGTTGAACCAGTGGATAAAGAAATGGCGGAAGGAGGGTATTGTATTAAGAGCGACGACATCACTGCGGAGGGAAACGGGAAATTTGTTTGCATCACTGTTTGGTCTCGAGGTTGGCTGGGCGATCAGTCTCCTAAAGTCAAGGAAAACGAAGAGGCCAAAGATGTCGAGTCGTGTTTAAAGGTGAACAAGTAATGGAAAGATCTGGATACGATCTTGAACTTTGTTTGAACTTAACCTATCCTGGCAATTAAGGAATTTTCTCATCATATTCTTACTAAAAAGGTTTATTATGAAAAATTGTAATGAGAATTAACTTGCTGCTCATTAAGAAATACATTTTTTTTTATATTAACAAGGAAGTATATAAACATGTCATGTTCTAAATAAAGATCATGCATTATTTTCACTTTTGTCTAGTATGTCATCACCATCTTATTCAGAATTTCTTTTGCTATGCATAGTTATTTCTTTCTTTTACTCACATTTTATGATAACAATAATAATCTAAACCATAACAAAGTTCTTAAACATGATTGGTCATCACTGGCCTAATTTGAGCACTAATAGGTCAGTGTGAGCATCATGCTTCATCATTTATTGACTTGTATTGTGCAATTATCAATGTAAGATTTTCAGTTGCACTTGACAATGTTAAAAATTCAACTCAACATAGATACGAAAGCTAGAAATAAAAATGTTTACTAAGAAGATGTAGAAAAATAATCAGAGAATTAAAAAGCCTTTGCAAATAAAAAGTCCTAATGGCTTTCTAAACCTGTTTAAATATTTGATATTTCTGATAGAACATGGAAGATTGTTTCACAATTTAGGAGCAGCTGCATGAAAAGAGCAATCACCAAGCAAAGCGACCACATAATGGACAGCACACCTAGTGT